CGTTCACACAACGACACCTCAGTTTCGACCCCAACCGTCGTGAAAGTATTTCGGGTCGGGCATGTACTAACACCGATATTACTGTCCACATATCCTTCGTTGGTAATATCAGTTCTTCCTTGCTGCACAACCTACCAGTTCTACTTCGTGTACCTTCTCACATTCACGTATACACGTGGCAACTTCTCACTGTCTTCTTACCGGCCACGCGGTCTGTAGTTTTTTTTACCTTGTTACATCTCTCGAAACCTATTCCCCCTCTTCAAGCTTTCACTACTTATTAACTGCCACAATCACACTTAATCCACTCCTTAATAGCTTCTCTCCCCTTATTAAACTTCACTTCTTTTCTTTTACTCGCCGCGTGCATCGTTACCGGCTCCGCTCCATAGAGGAGAGATACAAGATCAGGAGATATCTCTACTCTATGCTCCGCTCTCCTTCGTGTCCTGTTACTCTCTCCTGCCGTCGTCTCGCTCGGTCTCGCCGCCTTCACGCGCCTGACCCGTTCACTTATTTCGTCAGCTACTCGCCGCCTTTCCCGCGTAATTCAAATAGTGTTTGAAGAAACGGCGCGTTTCAATACATAAAGGTGTCCAGAAGCTCCCGTTACAAAAATATACCCCAAATTTTCATAAAGAATGGCATGTCCAGTTTTTTCCAAAAAATTGCCTTTGATAAAATGAATTCATTTAATAATTTTGAACTTATAGGTTGAATTTATAAGTGACATTAATACTAAGAACAAAACGCACGGTTATTTTTTCGATACAGTTTAGACGTTTATAAATTTTTTCTTGTGTTTGTCATTTTTATTTTGCCTGCAATTTTACCATTGAAGAGCATGCGCCCCCTTCGATCCTACACTACGATTACATCAGTAACGTATCCAACAGCTTGAATAACACATCTGAATTTGTTTTGATAAAAACATTTAACGTAATTTTTCTTTGATCGACGGCATTTTAAAAACAATTTATGACTATTTTATTGGTAATTTTTTATGATGTGTTAGGTCATCAAAATCTGCCCCTTAATTATATTTCTCTATTCTAGGGATGCTCGACTGTGAGTCGAGTGTAATTAGTACACTAAGATAGTTTTTATTCAAAGTGATTTGGACGAATGTCATAGTGCAGATTATGTTGAATGACGCAGTTTTGGTCTTATGGAATGCCGGGTACCATGTACTGTTTAATTTTTCACCTTCTTCTGTTCTGTTGAAACTTCAACAGAAAAGAAGAAAGAGGTGAAAAATTAAACAGTACATGATACCCGACACTCCGTAAAACCAAAACTCGGCAGCCAACCAGTACCGCTGGCGTGGCCCAATCAGGCGCGAGCGCCGGTGGCGCGACCCAATCAGAAGCGAGCGCGCGAACCTCGCCTTTCACCACTAATGCAGGTCCCAGAGCTGCGGGAGCGTCAGTCAACGCAGTGTCAGGGCCCGGCAACACTCCATCAAAATTGGGGACAAAGCTAGAGGTTGCTACTATAGGATGCGCTAGCGTCGCCGGATACAGCTACTTATAAGACTCGCCAACTTTCACACAAAAATTGGTCAAGAAATTCGAATACACTTTAATTATGAGCGATATCTGAAAAAAATTACAAAAAAAGTTAAATACTATGTATTTATCTTTTCAAATGCATTTATTCATAAGAACACACGCATGAAAGAAAAGATAGCGCGAACAGCGGCGCGATTTTATGTATCAAGCGCGTGTGTTTGCGTCCCGAGAACCCACGCGCGTTTTAAATAACGTTGGTAGCAGTTCGTGAAATAAGGTGATGCTCTAGAGCGCGCCACTGTAATGGTCCCCACCACGTTATATGGAAGTTATAGGGCCCTGCGCAGCGCTGCCAAGGACACTTCGCCCCCACGAGCAATGCCACTGATGATGCCTGCCACAGTTGCATGCGAAACGTTTTACCCAGTCTCCGTTGGACCACGGCCTACAAACCCGGAAACAACTAATTATGATGTAGAAACCGGCCGTGGAAGCCTACATTGTATGTTGATTGCGTGTTGCTTTGTGTAAGATGTCTGTGTCAGTTCAGCCCATGAAAGTACTGATCGCCGCGGGTCAGTTGCATGGGACCGCGGCGGCGCGCTGCCGAACGGCCTGCGAGGCTCTGCTATTCTGTTACATTAGATTAGACTAGATTTATTCAGTCAAAAAACAGTAAAAACTGTATGTGACGTAGGGGGGAAAAGGGGAAAAGATTAGCATCGCGCGTTTTCTTGAGTTTCAAAAACCCTTCCCGTCATTTTAACTATAAATAGTTGAAATATGAGTAAAAGTTTAATATATATAAATAAATTTTAAAAATCGCAAGATTAGCAATATTTGAATGTTAGTCATTTTTGTTTCTGATTTATAGAAAACTTATTTCCATCGGTACACGAATTGCAAGTATGATTTTTCTGCATTGCTAACAAAATAGTAACTCGCCCTTACCTGTACTCTTACCATTACAAGCAAAAGGAAAGTTCAGCAAAACGTGCTCATAGTGAAGCTGCATTTACGCCCAGAAGCAAAACAAGGGGCCATCTCAGCATTTACTCAATGGATCAGGCAAACTGGACAAAACCCGCATAGAGATGGGGGTCATTGGCACGGAAGCTGAAGTACTTTATTTGTTACAAACACATGAAGTCTTTTAAAAAAATTATACAATACAAATGTAAAGTAATTCATTGTATATCACTGTTTTGTTAAAATAAACATTAGTTTTCTTTTTGATAATCAGTATTGTCTCTAATTGTATAGAAACAGTTATGTAGCAGAAAATATTTTACTTTTAACTTAAATTTGTGAACCGACTTCAATTGTTTAATGTCAGCTGGCAGTGCGTTGTAAAGTAACGTACATGTATTATATGTGGATTTCTGATAGTGATCTGTTGATACTGACACTTGATGAACGTGATTTTTACGACGTGTGTTGTAATTATAAATATCAGTATTGCATACAAATATGTTCCCACCGTTAAGTAAGTTGCTTTTAGAATGTCTCAGACTGCGGCTGGCTCTTCAATAAGTAAACAGAAGTGTGAAAAATGTCTTCGGAGTAGCGAAAAGCGCATCATTCTGAACGTTTTCAACTCGTTATTGCATAGGAAACCGTCGTTACCGGTGAAGTAAATCGCAGTGTTCACTGGAATATCCTTATCCAGCGTATATTAACTCCGGAAAGAGCTCACTGACAAGGGGCAAATTAAAACGTTAGAGACGAAACGAAAGGGGAAGAAATCTGTGATACGATGAACGATGACTTTGTGAGTGTTTGCCAGTGTTGTTTGATCAAAAGTACATTCCTTGCAACGGGCAATAGTGACGGAACAAAAACCAAACGCCGGTGAATTTGTTGTAGCTGGGGAATTGATATTTAGTGATCGTGAGTAAAGTAGTGGCATTTCCAAGACAGCTCTAAATTCATTTGAATTGTCGGAATATGCTACTCGCGTCACCGAAAGTAGTGCGTTAGGAGGTGTCTAATCAAAAGCGTAGTGCGTCGCAAAGACTGCTTCAGTTTGTTTACAGGAGTTTTTTCTTAGGACGAACGGATAATAGTAATAATCTCCCACACTCCCTTTTGCCAAGCGTGTTGTTGAGTAAATAAGTTATTTAGGTAGTCATTGATCTAGTATAATGCTCTTCTGAGTTACAATCTCCTCGTGGTTAACAAGTACTTTCCATGTGCCATTAGCCCCATTCATTGAACCATGCCATCAAAGTAAATGTTACATATGTCTAGGGCTTGTCGGGGAGTTGAAGACGATTACTTAATGCAAATGATTATGTACTGGGAAATCTCATATTATAAATTTATTTTTATAGCATTCAACATGGTGCCCCTGACAGATAGGCATCTTTCCTTGCAGTGGTGTGTAGTAGGTACACTTTGGGCATGCATTGAATCAGCATGACTCCATGTAAACAGTATTTTTATACACTTCGGGATAGGGATTGCCATGGGGTAGAGAGATGGGTAAGCTACCCAGGCGCACCATTTTTTGGTCGTTCTGCTTAGCACACGTTTGCGCCGCAAACCACGTGACCACAGCGCGGGCACTTCGTTTCAAAAGCTAGACCAGACGCTGCCTCCGTCTTGCATGGAGAGCGAGAAGTGTTGAGTAACATTTTTAAAGTGGCAATTTCGATGGGGACCAACCAAAAATAACACGATGAATGTGTACACAATGGACATTACATTTTTGGGGGTAGACTGGAAGTGCGCTTTTCTTGATTTACTGATTCAAATTCATCAATGAGAGGATCATACTTAATTTTCTCAATTTCATCTCTTTCAACCCTCAACGGAACAAGATCACACAATAGATTTGTCACATTGATTCTATTAAGTAGGATAGTATCAATTTTAACATGCCGAAGGATCTCTCATAGCCTGCAATAGAAACAGAAATAATTCACGTAATTTGAATAGCGATACGTACATTTCAAAAAACCTCACGTCTCTCCATATTCAACAATGGTCTGTAAAAGTTTTTCTGCCTTGATATTTTAATATTAGATCGAAGTGAAAGAAGCATTCTGCAATAAAAAAATCTCATATAGCTGTTCTCCATCGACATGGCTGCTGTATAACATGGCGAAGTTTGTTTTGATATTTTTTGTATCCGCGACAGAGCACAGACTCAACGTCGAGCAAGAAGACAAATTTTTCATTTGTATCTTGTAAGCGGGTTAACCTTCCATTCGTTTCACTACAAAGACGGTCAACCGTCGCCATCATGACTTTCAATTTCTTGTTTGGCTGTTAGAGCCTGGTCCGATGATTTTCCAGCCATTTTTTGTTTCGCCTTGATTATGATTAATTCGCATTCTAAACAGAAATTAAGTTATTTTTCTATTGATTCGGTTGCCAACATTTCCCTTTCATCACATATTTTCTTGTTCGAATTTCTGAATTTTTTAATGCGGCAAATTACTCCTTACAGATAAAGGGGAAGTGTATTAAGTTGTCTCGCTTCCC